TATTGTGGATCACTTTTTTCCCTTCCAACAGCCATTAAAAGAACGTCGCATCATGTGTAAATCCTCACAGCAGGACTTGGCATCAACAGAAAAAGTGGATGCGTTTCTCTTTAACAGCTGTAATTTGTGTTTTCCAATCACCATGCTGATTTCTGCTCATTATACTCTGGGTTCACATCGGTAAGTGAGCAAAGTTTGGATTGATTGACTCTAATTAACTACAAAATGTTCAGAGCCATGGATGTATTATCATGCTAGCTAGCCACAATGTCACAGACATTCAAAAATTACTATCCTGTTAAGATAAATGTATTGTAATCAAAGGAGTGTGTAAACACAGGGAACATGTAGTATTATTTCCGTGATCATTTTTGTTTGGCGTGTTTTCCATGTGGTTTGTCACACATTGAAAACAGAAGCCTACAAAGCTTATATGCAGATTTCAAATGTATTCTCAAAATGTAATATATTCATATATTGTTAGTCATACAAGATTGGTATTGGTATCAATGAATGGAAAGTTGTGTACTATCCAAACTTCAGTTGTCTAAGTCGTACAGTGTTTCCCAATTCCGGTCCCCGAGTACCCCCGTCCCCCAACAGTACTTTTTTTTTGTGGCCCCAGACAAACACACCTGATTCTACTTGTCAACTAATCATCAAGCCCTTGACAAGTTGATTCAGGTGTTTTTGTCTGGGGAGACAACAAAAATATGTGCTATTGGGGGTACTCGAGGACCTGACTTGGGAAACACTGGTCAAAGAAATGACAAATGTCAATTTGTGAATGGTTTCCCACTGAGACGATGGGAAGACAGAAACTGACAACTCTGCTTAGATCCACTGTCTGCACAACTAAAAGGGTTAGGGTCTGAAAAAGTTAATCTAGGAACCTCCACAGTACTATTTGGTCATCTCTTTGTCAAGTCCCTATCCCGGTTGTGTCCACTAAAACAAGGCAGTATCTCCCTCGTTGATATGTTAGACACAGTAGCACCTCTCTGCACTCTATTATTCCTTTGCCTCCATGGCTCAACTCTCTACACTCTTAGAAAAAAGGGTTCCAAAAGGGTTCTTCGGCTGTCCCAATAGGATAACCCTTTTTGGTTCCAGGGAGAACCCATTTTGGTTCCACATAGAACCCTTTTGGGTTCCATGTAGAACCCTCTGTGGAAAGGGTCCTATATGGAACCCAAAAGGGTTCTACCTGGAACCAAAAGGGTTCTACCTGGAACCAAAAGGGTTCTTCAAAGGGCCTATGGGGACAGCCAAAGAACCCTTTTAGGTTCTAGATAGTACCTTTTTTTTCTAAGCGTATACTGCTCCCAACTCTGGCCATTTTGAAAAGTACATAAATCCACATTGTATTCTTTCTGTAAATACCCTGCTGAAGGCTTGCACCAAAACATGTTAGCTTTAACAATAAATACATACTTTTTAAAGCAAAATTCAAATGTACATTGTATATATTTACTGGACATTGTATGGAAGTGGTGTTGGAGGGCCAGTAGGAGGCACTATTTCCTCTGGCCTAAAAAATTATAATACCCCAATGCCCCAGGGCATTTCGGATGGGACGTTAAACGGGTGTCCTGACTCTCTGTGGTCACTAAAGATCCCATGGCATTTATCGTAAGAGTAGGGGTGTTAACCCAGTGTCCTGGCTAAATTCGCAATCTGGCCATCATACCATCATGGCCACATAATCATTCCCAGCTTCCAATTGGCTAATTTATCTCCACTCCCCTGTAACTATTCCCCAGGTCGTTGCTGAAAATGAGAACGTGTTCTCAGTCAACTAAAAAAAAAAGAAAAAAAAAAGAAGTATACTGTCAAATATCTTTTCATCTTCACCTTCTGCTCTCTCATGAACAACTAGAGATGATGGCTTGAAGGGACCAGTAGCAAACTGACCCCCCATTATCCATGATTCCAAACAAACACCCAGTATTAGATAACCTGTCAATCAGGTCCTACCACAATATCTGTACAACCTGTCTGTGTGCTATATATATTTATTTAACCTTTATTTAACTAGGCAAGTCAGTTAAGAACAAATTATTATTTACAATGACAGCCTACCCCGGCCAAACCCTCCCCTAACCTGGACGACGCTGGGCCAATTGTGCGCCGCCCTATGGGACTCCCGATCAAGGCCAGTTGTGATACAGCCCGGGATCGAACCCGGGCCTGTAGTGACGCCTTAGACCGCTGCGCCACTCGGTCCCCCAAAGTGAAAGCCCCTTCACTGACTGGCATGTCACAAATGATTACAAGGAAATACCACAGATACTGTAGTGTATGCCCACTGTGTTGTGTTTGTGACACATGTTCTGAATTTTGTTTACTCATCATAGACTTTACATAATAACACAAGTGTGTATAACATGTAATAAACATAAAATACTGTACAGTAGGCCTAGCATTTTTTCCATCAATATCTCCACACACTACAGTAGTACACACACACAAGCACACACACACACACACACGTACACATCAGTACACCCACTACAGTCTTGCCTCCAGACAAATGTGATGACAGCCAGCTCTGGTTCAGTGCCATTTATTTGGGGGATTGATTAGATGCAAGGAAAGGAGATTAATGTGTTGGGAAGGTGCCTTCATTTGAGATATTGCTATAATGTTTAAGAGATACAGATGTAGGATCTTAATTTGATCACCCTGTTGCAAGAGAACTTTAAAACGTGTAGTGTATTTGAGGTTTAAAAAGGCTTCTGAAGTTCATAATTTCCACTTTGAAAAATGTATCAACCCCTACAAAAATGTCCAATAATTATAATCCACATCAAATTCACATTTCCTGTTTCTGTAGGATTATTTTCCTGCTGTAGCAAACAGGCTCAAATTAAGATCATACATCTGTATCAGAGTCAGTACATTTATCAAAATACTTTTTGGGGAAAGAGATGGATCCCAGCTTAGTAAGGCGCTGATCTGAAAGACCGTGTTAGATCCATTAACCTGCATGTCTGTCTTAGACAACATGCCTGTTGAGGAATCACACAATACAACAAATTGTTACCCTTGACATGTGATGAAAATAACACAACTCACTAGTATTGCACCTAGAGTGCCTTATTCCCCAAACTGGAATATCTTTAAACTACTGGTCTTTACAATCAAAAAGTCAAAATGATCATAGTAAACACACACTTTCATAAGGCCAACTTGACTACCAGGTGATTCAATAAGATGCTATTCTATAGCTTGGCAGTGGAAATGGAGCATGTGTTGCTAAAGTCAATGGTGATGTCAATAACCACGTTTCCATCCATAGTTTTTATGCGAGTAAAGTCATACCGTAGAACAAAAAAATTCTGCGAGAAATGGACGTGGAAATGCCTTTATGCACAAATATTGATATAATAACCATCATATCGAAGTAAACTTTGAGTCACGCGATGATATGTTGTGTGGTCCAAACACTACGACTCGGGAAACCTTGCAGTTTACCGCCCTATAGGACTCCCAATCACCGCCGGATCGTGATACAGTCTAATCGAACCAGGGTCTGTATTAACGCCTCTAGAACTGAAATGCAGTTCCATAGGAGCCAAGAGCGCACGTGACAAGAGCGCTATATTGACTAGAGCGCACGTTACAAGACCAGAGTAGGCACATTTGCTATTTAACGCAACAGTTCTTGTGACAAAACTATCGGTAGAGTTGAAAATGTGATGGAAACCGAATGAATTTTTGATTTTTATTTGGTACATGAAAAAGTAAATGTTGTGTGCACTAGGTCATAAAGCACTGATTTTTATCTGCAACAAATCTGTTTGGTGGGAAAATGAACATATTTTCTCTATGCAGATTTGTTTATATTCGCATGATAATCTTTCGCCAATTGAATGGAAACCGAGCTACAGTCTCCCTCTCTCAGCTTGTTGTTTCATACTGCCCCCCTCTGCCCTGGCTGGCTGGCAGGGGGGAGGGAGGGGAGAGAGGCCTCGGTGTCATCAACAAACAAACGTCTCTATCAACAACACTGAGAACCAGAAGACTGCAGACCTGGACCAACAATATCTATCACCTGGCTGAGTGACCTGATAGGAAATCACACTGTCACTACTTGAGGTGAGTTCAAGAACATCTAGGAGAGAAAATATCTTAAACCAATAGCCATCTCCATAGCCTAATAGCCCATTTCAGTGGTCTGAAATTGTCCCATCACAATAATCAAAATATAAACAATGGTGTGGTAATAATACTTGTATCACAAATGTTTATCAAAGAGGAAAATAAAAACTTTTGAAGTGTGTTCAATAAATATTAATGTGCCACATCATTATTAGGCCTATGAAGCAATGGGAAGGAACATGCTTGATGAAATAATAAACATTTATTTTCTCTTCCAAATAAATACTACATGTGATTGAGGTGAGATGTGCCAAATTGAAAGCAGCGTTACCTGGGGGTTCTTCAGTTAGAAAGCCAATAGGCTACTGCACCACGCTACACAACATCCTTTCGTAATGTGCACACTATTTACCCCTGGATTGCTCCAGGCTAATGTCTCAATAATGTTCACTCCTTTCTCAGGTCCTTCCCACAAAGGACTTAACTAATGATCCATGGACAAAATGAAGCATTTAAATTTATTCATTAATCATTCATCTCCAGCTCATTGAAAATGCTAAACTTCCACAAAATGAAGATTGAATATTGAAAAGTGATTGAGGGAGACAGCTTTCTAGAAGAGCAGAGGGAGAAAAAAATGAAACAACTAAAACAAGTGTGCTTGTCTACTGAGAGGAAGTGTTTTGCTCGGGCATTGGTCCGGGTGGTCGAGGTGGTGTACTAAGTGCTAGTTAAGGTCAGGGAGGGTTTTAGTAGTCCTGATTAGAGCTCCAAATCTGGAGAAGCATAGAATTTCTGTCAACACTGCCTGTAATTATTCTCTTTTCCAATTAATGGTGACATAGATTAATTATCTGATGAGGCAAAGCCAATTGCAATCATTCACCCAGCTAAAATTAGATCAGTCCTGGCAGCAGCATGAAAGTCACCTGTTTCATTGTTATGGATCTGCTTCTGGTAAAAGAGAGGGGGGGGGGGGGGGGGGGGGGGGGGGGTAGTGAGTCAGTGAAGCGTGCTGGGGTAAGTAAGTTGTCTGGCACCAGGTGAATGTCCAATTACACTGTTATCTGAACTGTATGCATCTTCTTCTTGTTCAACCCAATGGCATCCGGACCTGCTTGTTTGTTCCCTGCTGCTGTCGCCATCGTCGCAGCATCATCAATGGTAGTTGAGTCATCTGCCAGAGAGTGCAGAAAGGCAGAAATGCACTGGATTGCTTCTGACAACTCCTCCTGTTTGAATAAGGGAGCAAATAGAATCAATGAATACCATCTAATTAAGAAAACAGAGTGACGACAGTCGTCAGACGACGTTGAGTGGAGGAGATTAGAGGGAGAGCAGCAGCTTTGACGACAGACATACAGTAGACAAACACAACTCTACTGTTGATGTGATGCTCTCTCCGTCTGTTTCACTACTTGCTGCTTGCTCCACGTGCTGTCTAGAGATAGTGAGAGTAAGTTACGCCCAGCGTCTTGATCTTTATTTTGTGGAAGGAGAGAGCGAGAACGAGTGCAATAGAGAGAGGCTCCTGGTTGAACCATGGTGCAGGTTCAGTGCGCCTGTGTTTTAAAAACCTCAGCATCCAGTTTTTCTATTAAACTGCCTGGCACTGTCAACCAACTTGGGAATCTGAACTGGCCTAGCCATGCAGAAATTCTCTGACTAACAATTATATCAGAAACAGGATCTTGGATTACTGTCCCTGGAGACCGGGGCTAGTGGGCGTCTGCTACTATCATTACTGGCTATTCAACAAGCACTCTGCACTGTGAGCCTCGCCGCTGTTAGCCATTGTCAATTACGCCATCCCTGGTGTAAACTGGCAGAACACAAAAACTCAACTGCCAGTTCTGGCAGCGGTGTTACATGATGACAGCGCCCCCACCACCACACACACCCACCATCCCACACCCCCCAAGTTCCCCCACCGCCCACTGCCTTCTCCTCTGAAGCTGCTGCAAAGCAAGAAAATAAGTAACATTTGGCTTCATAATGTTAGTGTGCCTTGGTGGTGGAAATGCAGACCTGACCTCTCTGATGTTCTGCGAAAGAGGTTAAGTGGACATTATGGATTAGTATAGTACCCAGCAGGATTCAATCCATGTGGACTCCATTTTGGTATATTTGTTTCATTATGGTTTGTTCTGTTGGTGCGAAGTGGGAACTGCTCTGAGGCCATCACCATCAGTGTATAAAGTATGCAGTGCATCGCTGAGGGGCTTTGGTTTTAAAGTGAACGTTACTCTGAGGGTCTTTGTGCTTAAAGTGTGCACTACTCTAAGGGGTCTTTCTAAGGGGTGTGCACTACTCTTAGTAAGGACCCTGAGTAAGGAAGCTTAGTAAGGAAGCTGTGCGTAGTGCGTAGTAAAGCCTGCTCTAGTCTGGAGGAGCCGGGTTGGGGGTTTAATGTGAGTAGCTGCTGTGCTCTGCTCTGAGGGACGCTGGGCTGTGACGGGTGACGGTGTGCTGCGCTTCAATACACCAGCTCTTTTGTCCTTCACACTCTGCAGCTCCCTGATAGCTCCTCCCTCCTCCTCCTTTTCCTCCTCCTCCATGCTCCACTCCTCCCTGCTCTGCTCTCCCCTCTGCTCTGTGTTCAGCTGCCTAGAGCCTCCCCTCCTCTCTTCGGGGTTAGGCCTGGGAGACATGACTGCTCCCTCCCTCCCTGACTGACTGGCTGTAATGTCTGGCTGGATAACACCCATCAAAAAGCATGTTGGCAATAAAAAGGGGGAAGGAATGGATGGATAGGGAAATAATGACTAGATGTGTTATTGCTCACTGTGTAGAGAAGACTAGACACAGAGGGTCTGAAATTAAGTCAAATCAATTCTATCTGGAAAGAAGTCTGATCGAAAAGAATCAGTGGAATTATAATTTCAATCGCAATGAAGACCTAGCCAAAACATGTATTGTCTAAGTCTGTGGGACTGTGACATAGGTAATAGTAGTGCTAGATTGGGAACAGCTGATAGACATGGCTGGCTGTCACACCTGGAGAGAGAGCAGGGGGAAGGAAACAATGCTGAATGGAAACACCTCTGGATAAAAATATAATGGCTATGAGAGAATGTGAATGGTTCCATGGTTGAATGGCACCTGCCTGCTTCAGTATGATGGTCGGTGAGAATGGCACCTGCCTGCTTCAGTATGATGGTCGGTGAGGGGGCTACAGGACAGCACATTTGATAAAGATTCATCACTCTCCTTCTGTCCGCTTTGACCTCCTCTCACATCTCACCACATATTAGCCGACCATTATCCAGTAATTGAAGATCTCCACTTCTCCATGCACCCCTGCAGATTCAGAATACGTGTCTAATACTTTTTCAGCAAAACATAAGAAAGGTAGCGAGGGGTAATTCAACCAAGTTGTACCATAGATAGCTATCCAGTAGTAACACCCAACACAATAAACATAAGGCAGCCACACAGCCAAACGTAATGTAGTGAATAAATATGCGACCTAACAGAGTGAATGTATATATAGTTATCTGTAGAGGAGAAAGGGCTAGCCTCAGATGCCGGGTCACCGCATGCCATAGGCACTCGCATCGAAACGTCATCAATCACTTCACTGTGCCGGCGTTGATGGTGGCGTCTTTAACTCTAGTGTGATGATGCTACAGACGGCCGTGGAGACTGGTGAATGTTTTACTGTGGGTTAGTGGACTGGTTAGTTCCCTGCCAATGGAGGCATGACGCTCAGCTCAACATGTTTTAACTTTGGGATGCCACACATGCTCAGCATTACATGAATACATGAAGTTATTGTACTGTTATAAATTATTATACTCCCATTAATCAAATCTACTCAACCCATGAATCCTCCCAACACTTAAAAAAATATATTGTGATATACTGCAGGAGTAGGCAGGCGGATTTAAGAATTCAAGAAAAACCCATTAAACTGGAATGGTTGTAATGTTGTCTGTGTGTGGATTCACAAGGGAAAGTCCTATGAAACATACATACCTGGACAGTTTTTATTTTCTGGTTGTTCTCATTAGAGAGGGTCTGGAAGCGGGCCAGTTCAGCCTGGCTATAGAGGTTGCGTTGTCTGAAGTATTTCACCACAGCTTTGTGCATCCTCTTCTGCAACAAATACATCTAGGAGGGGGGAGACAGGGAGAAAGAAGGAAGGAAAGGAGAACAGAGAAAAAGGAATTGGAAAGGCAGGAGAGGAAATAAATGGCAGTGTTCAAGAAGAATGATGGAGAGGAATAGAGAAAGCAGTCAATAGCCCATTCTGCAGTACACAGGCCTGACAGGAATTTCACAGTCTCTTGGTTTCTCTGCCCATTCGTGTGCAGTCATCAGAATCCAGTCACATCTGGCTGCCAGGATGGGGGGTTAATTTTCTCCAAATGCTTCAGCAGTTTTGTTCTAGCCGAGGCAAACTCTGTGACTGCAAAGCTGATGAGTAAAATATTTCTACTTCACCCAGTTTAACTTTATACCAATCCCCTCAAGACATATTTTACACATACACACAGAGTCATGAACCCCCCACCGAAACTAGAAATTATTCCTAGTCTATTGGAAAGATATGATTCTCGCTCGCTTTATTATTTGAACACAGTTTCAAGCAAAGGGGTTTCTTTCAATTCTGATAGATGCCATTGCTTTTTCTCCCTCCATCTCTGTTTTCCTCCTGCAAAGCTTATCATTGCTTGGCAATGTGTTCCCCAGTGCATAGAGAAACTAAAGCGAATTAGCTCAGCCATCTACTGCTGAAGGAAAGACAATAACAGGAATTCTCTTCATGGTGTGCCCTGTTAAAAACCTATGCTGAGAGCTCCATCCACATAAACAAAACAATGCTTACATGCAATGATAAGAGGCCACTTACATGAACCATAAAGTAACTGATGCTATTGGAGGAGATAACACATCGCCATTGAAAACCACTTTTAGGTTAGTGCTATGCTAGTTGAAGGGGGTAGGTATGGTAGGTAACCATATACAAAACATTTATTTTGATATTGCCTAACATTTGAGAAAAGTGTTGGGTTGGAGCATTGAAACATTCAGCTATGTGCAGGTGATTAAAAAATAAACCAATTGTAACATGAACTTACTGTATAATGTCAACTAATTACAAATGCTATACATTCAGAATGTATCTTTGTGTACAATGTCTTACTACTATGGTGCTAACTACGTTTGTATTATAACAGGCCAAAGCCTGTAAACCTTGGCTTGATGAGTCAGACCAGTAGAGCGCCTTAGCAGGAGCTTCCATTGGCTCCCTCTGCTGAATATCAAACATTTTACAGGCTCTTCAAACAACTGAGAGTTTCTTACATGTTTGGAGTGAGCCATGTCATTCCAGTACACAGTATTGCTATGGGCTGTCAAACAATGTGTGCTATGATATGATCCCACTAGTGTGCTGGGTCCTTTGAAGCTAGTCTTTCTTCTCTGGGACAGAAGTAGGTTAGCTAGCCACTATGAATAAAACCTTGTAACATTGGGTATTGAGAATAACAACTGATAGAAATGAGATTGTCAGAGGGATATGAAAATCAGCAATATATATATATATATATCATTACATTCAATCTGTTTCTATTTTGAATGAGAAAATTAGAGATGTTGGAAGGTGGTTCTGTACTAAATGTCTATGTGTAGAGCTGAAACAAACAGAAATGGTTAAGGAAGGCTGAATCCAGAGTAAAAGAAAATCAGGCTTTGATCATGAGCGTGGAGAATCCTGTCCACAGGATTTAATTTCTGCATTTTTCACTTGATAACATTCATTCAGTCAGATGAGTAATTGCTCAAGTAAAGGTGTTAGTCATTTTGGGGAAACAAATCATGTCTATTGCTTATTGCTTGAAGCAGTGCATGTTTTATTTCCTGTGTAGGCTATAGAATATGGTCTTCATCTGCAATTCCCGGTCCATAAAGACCAAAACGGTTCAAATGTTGTTTTCTGTAGCCTCTCTCACAACTATTCAACACCTTTAGGAGTATACGATGTTCTGTAGTTTTCATTTAAGACCTTTGGGAGTATTAGCATTGAAAGTGCATTCTCTTTTTTTATTATTGACCTGTGCCTGCTATGGGTCTCCCTCCCATTGGCCACCTAGCCCATTGGCCACCTAGCCCATTGGCCACCTAGTGAACAGAAGCTAATGTGTAACACAAACATAATGAAACAGGTCACCTTGGAACACCTTGAAAAACACTTATTATGCATCCTAAATGGCATCCTTTGTACTATCTAGGGCACTACTTTTGACCAGGGCCCACAAGTTCAGAGTGCCATTCAAGACTGCATAGTGAACTTAGTCTTTATAAGTTTGCATGAATTGCATCCACCTATCCCCTCTCTAATCTCCCCCTGGGCAGAAATACTACTATATCACATCCATCATCCTCCTCCACTAAGGTTATCTCATCAAGATCAGATTACTGCAGTCATCTCCTCATTGGTTACCCAACTAAAACAATCCGAAAATTACTGACCATGCTAAGAAACATTCCAATCAAAACGGCAAACTGGATATAATATAATTTAACATAATATCATATAATATCATATCATGATTTAAATGTATGATTCAATTATTGTGATTCAAAATGTAAAGCTCTATAATTTAATAACATTAGGAAGTAGACCGTTCAGTAGAGAGCCTACCTGTTTGTGATCATAAAAAGATGCCTCTGTTCGGTTCCTCTCGTCAAACACCCCAACAGCCCCCTGCTTGGCGATCATCAGGACTTTCTGAAGGTCTCTGTACTCATGGGCCAACTCAACGTTTTCTCTTAGGGCTACCTTTAGGTCATCCTACAACACACACACACACACACACACACACACACGTTCAGTTACACGGTTTCACATATATTGATAACAACGTGTCTTGACAATTTTAAGCACTAGACAGGATTTATGAGTGTGGTCCACAGTCACAGAGAATATTGAGGAGACATGGCAGGTTGCAGCACAGTATGACTGAGGAGTTCCACCATGATGGTTGGTTCCATAAACCCCTAGTGGAGGAGAGCTGCTGCAGTCCTACCAAGGAACAATACATGCTGAAGCAGCAGTTATACTGCACTGCCTACATGTTGGATGTCAGCTACTGTCTGAGCGATCAAAGATATGGATCACTGTCCCAGGCTATGCTATAGAAAGGAGAGATAAACATTCTCATGAACCAATAGGCCTGGGAGTGAAGCCATAGATGTACAGTATGTATTTAGGGCATACTGTATACTCAGCATTATGACAGGCTTAAAATTAATTTCCAATAACATATTTTGTCATAGGTTATTTACTAGGTAGAACAAGTACACGTGTGTGAGACTATCTGTGTGTGCTTGTGAGTGTGTACTACTGGATGTGTGAGTCTTACAATCTAGGGCATACAGGGCCAAATACAGACAATTAAAGACTGACTGGACACTTCTGGAAATCAAATAAATAACAATGACTGAGTAACTGTCTCTCGCTCTGCCTGCCCTCTTCTCATCTCTAAACCCCATTCATTCCCAGAGTATTTGATCATTGTGCTGCTGTATCCATTGTGCTGCTGTATCCTGGTGATCTTGACTGTACTGTGCTGTACCTGCAGAACGAAGGAACATAATGAAGTGTGTCTCTGCAGTAAAACACAACAGCAGCAGCACTAAGGTGATGAGTTTAACCCAGCAGAAAGAGAGCGAGAGAGAGAGGGGGGGGGGGGGGGGGCTGTAAACATGACAAATTCTTTCTATTGATTCCAGATTTAATTACAGCAGGCAAGGCATGCAGCACTACTGACTAAGCCCATCTGATGGCTGCTGTTATCTGAAGTGTAATTGGAACGAATTACACATCATTGCCCATAAGAAACTTATGGAGTCTGTAGTTTGTTCGCGTTTACTTTCTCCACGGTGACTACTACGCCGAACGCCAGCTAACTGCTTGATTACATTAATGAAGGAAGACACCATGTTGATGGTGGAAACGCTTTGGAAACGTTTGGGTTTGGCGATTGGAGATCATGATAGACATTTACAGTGCCTTCAGAAAGTATTTATACCCCTTGACTTATTCTACATTTTGTCGTGCTACAGCCTGAATTCAAAATGGATTAACTAGATTTTTTTCCTCTTCCATCTGCACACAAGACCCCATAATGACAAAGTGAAAACATGTTTTTAGAAATGTTAGCAAATGTATTGAAAATGAAATACAGAAAGATCTAATTTACATAAGTATTCACACCCGAGTCAATACATGTTAGAATCACCTTTGGTACTGATAACAGCTGTGAGTCTTTCTGGACAAGTCTCTAAGAGCTTTGCATACCTGGATTGTACAATATTAGCACATTATTCTTCTCAAAATTCTTCAAGCTCTGTCAAATTGGTTGTTGATCATTGCTAGAGTCTTGGCATAGATTTCAAAGCAGATTTTGGTCAAAACTGTAACTTAGGAACATTCACGAATATGGGGGGGAATTGCCTTTAAAATTGCTGGTTCTATTAATGTAACTGCTGCATCATTTCCAGTCCCCCATATACATATACAGTTGAAGTCGGAAGTTTACATACACTTAGGTTGGAGTCATTAAAACTAGTTTTTCATCCACTCCACAAATGTCTTGTTAACAAACTATAGTTTTGGCAAGTCGGTTAGGACATCTACTTTGTGCATGACACAAGTAATTTTTCCAACAATTGTTTACAGACAAATTATTTCACTTATAATTCACTGTATCACAATTCCAGTGGGTCAGAAGTTTACATACACTTAGTTGACTGTGCCTTTAAACAGCTTGGAAAACTCCAGAAAATGATGTCATGGCTTTAGAAGCTTCTGATAGGCTAATTGACATCATTTGAGTCAATTGGAGGTGTACCTGTGGATGTATTTCAAGGCCTATCTTCAAACTCAGTGCCTCTTTGCTTGACATCATGGGAAAATCAAAAGAAATCAGCCAAGACCCCAGAAAATAAATTGTAGACCTCCGTAAGTCTGGTTCATCCTTGGGAGCAATTTCCAAACGCCTGAAGGTACCACGTTCATCTGTACAAACAATAGTACGCAAGTATAAACACCATGGGACCACGCAGCCGTCGTACCGCTCAGGAAGGAGACGCGTTCTGTCTCCTACAGATGAACGTACTTTGGTGCGAAAAGTGCAAATCAATCCCAGAACAACAGCAAAGGACCATGTGAAGATGCTGGAGGAAACATGTACAAAAGTATCTATATCCACAGTAAAACGAGTCCTATATCGACATAACCTGAAAGGCCGCTCAGCAAGGAAGAAGCCACTGCTCCAAAACCGCCATAAAAAAGCCAGACTACAGTTTGCAACTGCACATAGGGACAAAAGATCGTACTTTTTGGAGAAATGTCCTCTGGTCTGATGAAACAAAAATAGAACTGTTTGGCCATAATGACCATTGTTATGTTTGGAGGAAAAAGGGGGCAGCTTGCAAGCTGAAGAACACCATACCAACCGTGAAGCACAGGGGTGGCAACATCATGTTGTGGGGGTGCTTTGCTGCAGGAGGGACTGGTGCACTTCACAAAATAGATGGCATCATGAGGAAGGAAAATTATGTGGATATATTGAAGCAACATCTCAAGACATTAGTCAGGAAGTTGATGACCCCAATGACCCCAAGCATATTTCAAAAGTTGTGGCAAAATGGTTTAAGGACAATAAAGTCAAGGTATTTGATTGGCCAATACAAAGCCCTGACCTCAACCCTATAGAACATTTGTGGGGAGAACTGAAAAAACGAGGCCTACAAACCTGGTGTCACGCCCTGACTCTAGGGACTTGTATTTGTTGAGTCAGGGTGTGTATTTTCTGTGTTGGGTTTGTCTATGTTAGTTTCTAGATCGTTTAGATCTATGTTGGCCAGGGTGGTTCCCAATCAGAGGCAGCTGTAGCTCGTTGTCTCTGATTGGGGACCATACTTAGGCAGCCTTTTGGCACCTGTTAGTTGTGGGATCTTGTTCCGTGTAAGGTATGTTGTTTGTATGCTACCTTGGACTTCACGTTTCGTTTGTTGTTTTGTCGTGTGTTTAGTCGTTAATAAACATGAATGCATATCACGCTGCGCCTTGGTCCTTCCCGTTCGTCAACGATCGTGACACCTGGACTCAGTTACACCAGCTCTGTCAGGAGGAATGGGACAAAATTCACCCAACTTATTGTGGGACGCTTGTGGAAGGCTACCCAAAACGTTTGACCCAAGTTAAACAATTTAAAGGCAATGCTACCAAATACTAATTGAGTGTATGTAAACTTCTGACCCACTGGGAATGTGATGAAAGAAATAAAAGCTGAAATAAATCATTCTCTCTACTATTATTCTGACATTTCACATTCTTAAAATAAAGTGGTGATCCTAACTGACCTAAAACAGGGCATTTTTACTAGGATTAAATGTCAGGAATTGTGAAAAACTGAGTTTAAATGTATTTGGCTAAGGTGTATGTAAACTTCCGACTTCAACTGTAGTACCAGTCAAATGTTTGGACACACCTACTCATTCAAGGGTTTTTCTTTATTTTTACTATTTTCTACATTGTAGAATAATAGTGAAGACATCAAAACTATGAAATAACACATTTGGAATCATGTAGTAACCAAAAAAGTGTTAAACAAATCAAAATATATTTTATATTTGAGATTCTTCAAATAGCCACCCTTTGCCTTGATGACATATTTGCACACTCTTGGCATTCTCTCAACCAGCTTCATGAGGAATATTTTTCCAACAGTCTTGAAGGAGTTCCCACATATGCTGAGCACTTGTTGGCTGCTTTTCCTTCACTCTGCGGTCCAACTCATCCCAAACCATCTCAATTGGGTTGAGGTCCGGTGATTGTGGAGGCCAGGTCATCTGATGCAGCACTCCATCACTCTCCTTGGTAAAATAGCCCTTACACAGCCTGGTGTGTTTTGGGTCATTGTCCTGTTGAAAAACAAATGATAGTCCCACTAAGCGCAAACCAGATGGGATGGCGTATCGCTGCAGAATGCTGTGGTAGCCATACTGGTTAAGTGTGCCTTGAATTCTAAATAAATCACTGACAGTGTAACCAGCAAAGCACCCCCACACCATCACACCACACATGCAGAGATCATCCATTCACCTACTCCGCGTCTCACAAAGACACGGCGGTTGGAACCAAAAATCTCACATTTGGACTCAACAGACCAAAGGACAGATTTCCACCAGTCTAATGTCCATTGCTCGTGTTTCTTGGCCCAAGGATGTCTCTTCTTATTGGTGTCCTTTAGTAGTGGTTTCTTTGCAGCAATTCGACCATGAAGGCCTGATTCATGCAGTCTCCTCTGAACAGTTGATGTTGAGATGTGTCTGTTACTTGAACTCTGTGAAGCATTTATTTGGGCTGCAATCTGAGGTGCAGTTAACTCTAATGAACTTATCCTCTGCAGCAGAGGTAACTCTGGGTCTTCCTTTCCTGTGGCGGTCCTCATGACAGCCAGTTTCATCATAGCGCTTGATGGTTTTTGCGACTGCACTTGAAGAAACTTTCAAAGTTCTTGGACTGTCATTTCTCTTTGCTTATTTGAGCTGTTCTTGCCATAATATGGACTTGGTCTTTTACCAAATAGGGCTATCTTCTGTATACCACCCCTACCTTGTCACAACACAACTGATCGGCTCAAACGCATGAAGAAGGAAATAAATTCCACAAATTAACTTTTAACAAGGCACACCTGTTAATTGAAATGCATTCCAGGTGACTACCTCACAAAGCTGGTTCAGAGAATGCCAAGCGTGTGCAAAGCTGTCATCAAGGCAAAGGGTGGCTACTTTGAAGAATCTCAAATATAAAATATATTTTGATTTGTTTAACACTTTTTTGGTTACTACATGATTCCATATTTGTTATTTCATAGTTTTGATGTCTTCACTATTATTCTACAATGTAGAAAATAGTAAAAATAAAGAAAAACCCTTTAATGAGTAGGTGTGTCCAAACCTTTGACAGGTACTGTATATATTTATTTATAAAAATAAAGATCTTCACTGTCTTCTTGGTAAGCAACTCCAGTGTAGATTTGGCCCTGTGTTGTAGGTTATTGTCCTGCTGTGACTGGTGGAAAGCAGACTGAACCAGGTTTTCCTCTAGGGTTATGCCTGTGCTTAGCTCCATTCAGTATCTTTTTTATCCTGAAAACTCCCCAGTCCTTAATGATTACAAGCATACCCATGACATGATGCAGCCACCACTATGCTTGAAAATATGGGGAGTGGTACTCAGTAATGTGTTGTATTGAATTTGCCCCAAACATGACACTTTTTATTCAGGACAAAAAGTAAATTGCTTTGCCAAATTTTTGCAGTATTACTTTAGTGCCTTGTTGCAAACAAAATGCATGTTCTGGAATATTTTTATTCTGCACAGGCTTCCTTCTTTTCACTCTGATAATTAGGTTAGTATTGTGGAGTAACTACAATGTTGTTGATCCATCCTCAGTTTTCTCCTATCACAGCCATTAAACTCTGTAACTGTTTTAATGTCACCATTGGCCTCATAGTGAAATCCCTGAGAGGTTTCCTTCCTCTCCGGCAACTGAGTTAGGAAGGATGCCTGTATCTTTGTAGTGACTGGGTGTATTAATACACAATCCAAAGTGTAATTAATAACTTCATCATGCTCAAAGCGATATTCAATGTGTGCTTTTTATATTTTTACACATCTACCAATAGGTGCCTTTCTTTGCGAGGCATTGGAAAACCTCCCTGGTCATTATGGTTGAATCTGTGTTCGAAATTCACTGCTCGACCTTACAGATAATTGTATCTGTGGGGTACAGAGATGAGGTAGTCATTCAAAAATAATGTTAAACATTATTATTACAAACAGAGTGAGTCCATGCAACTTATTATGTGACTTGTTAAGCACATTTTTACTCCTGAACTTATTTAGGCTTGCCATAAGAAAGGGGTTGAATACTTATTGACTCAAGACATTTCAGCTTTTCATTTTTAATTAATTTGTAACGATTTTGAAAAACATAATTCCACATTGACATTATGCGGTATTGTGTGTAGGCCAGTGACACAAAATCTCAATTTAATCTATTTTAAATTCACACAACAGAATGTGGAAAAAGTTAAGGGGTGTGAATACTTTCTGAAGGCACTGTACCTGCTGAATAACTGGACTTCAGCTGATTTTGTTTAATTTAATTTCAATTGACTTAGTGTATGGGGCGACTTCTTGAGTTGAATGGAACTGTTTGTGGATACACAACAGTGTTGTGGTGGCCAGTAAATGTGGTAACAATGTCACCAAGAGAAAAAAGCAGATGAGCATGCCATCCAGCGCACGCACACACACACACACACACACGTACACAAACAGGAAAAACGAAGGGGACGTGTCTGACGTGCAAACCGATATTACATTTTCGAATTGGTGAAAATTAGGTTACGGTTAGGGTTAAGGGTTTTGTTAAGGTTAGTGTTAAGGTAAGGGTCAGTTATGGATTTTGGCTAATCGGGCTGTCAATGGGATGCAGGTCAGAAAGGTCCTCTTAGTCTCTCCCCACACACAAACACAAGCCTCCTCTGAGCTGTTAGCAATACTAATGGGCTCTACCTGACAGTTAACATCCCAACAGTCAACATCCATAGTGACCTCCAGGGCCTTCCAATGATAATATGAGGTCAGCATCTTTCTCCTGTGTAATTTTATATCTCAATGTGTCCAGTCATTACTGTGTTTACTCGTTCTCTGAGTCACGCACAGCGGTTCCCAAATGCTTAGTGTGCTTATTACGTTATGCTAATGTGGACATTATGTGTGTGCTTTATATTCAAATCAAATCAAATCCAAGTTTATTGGTCGCGTACACAGATTTGCAAATGTTATCGCAGGTGCAGCGAAATGCTTGTGTTTCTAGCTCCAACAGTGCAGTAATAATACCTATCAATACAAAACAATATGCACATAATCCAAAAAGTAAGAAGAAAGAAATTAAGAAATGTCAGAACGTGTATAGAAAGTATGGACAGTATATGAATAGAAACTGTGTACAGCAGTAGTTATATAGGACCTAATGAACCTAATGATCAAAGTAACCAATTTCCTTATAACTTAACACTCTCTCTAACTCTTGATCTTTTCATTTGGTGAGAGGGGCTATAGGCCTATTGTTGTTTCCATTAAAATTTTTCAAGTGAAAAAGGCTAAAGCTATTTTTGCATGATTGCCTTTTACCAGGCTAATGGGACTTGTGTCTATGAGGAAGACTTCCTAATTCTTAAATTGTCTCACGCCAACAACTTCTTTAAAGTTGCTGCGCTCACGGATGCATGGCGGCCTAGCTCCATTGCCTTTTCTTGTTTTGAACTAATGCATTCTTGATCACCGTTTAATGAAACTCTATACCACATGGCGATTTCACATTAGATAAGCCATGTGAGACTCCCATCAGCCACGAGGCTCTGGCTGGGCTGATAATCCTGCATGCTGCAGATGAAAACCTTACAATAAATAGGGCTCTCCCATTAAAGGGGCAATCTGCAGTTCCTACATCCATTTTTGGACTTATAAATTAATGATATATCCCCATAAGATTCTTGAAGAATATAACTTATAAATGTCTCATGAGCTTAATTCAACTGTACCGAAACAGGGGTGAGGACCTCCCTTGGTTATTCTTTCAACTGCTGATTGCCACTTTAAGACAAAGCATAATTATAAAATAATGTACACCACAGACATAAATAATTTTATACTCCAACAGTTAGTTGTCACTCCTTTAAAAAACACAACACGATTGACCTTGGCTGGTAATTCTAATTGCTTAGGACGCTGTTGTGGTCTTCTCACAACGGATTGTAGCGAGTAATTCTAGTGACACTAATCCACAAATAACTACACAATAAGCTGAGGACCCTTTCAGTCATCCTCTTGTGTTTGTTAACAATATACCACTTTGAAGACAATTGCCAATGGGCATGTTTGAAAACTAACAAATATTTTTAGCCTACCTGTTTTTAGCCTACCTAAATGTTACTGTATATGGTCTCAATTCCAGTAAAATTAACTGTATGAGGAATACCAGTAATACTAACATCGAATACAGTGAGTACAACATAAACCAAACCACCTTGCATTCAACCAAATGACCCAGTGTTTTACCTTGGTTTCCTCCATTTTTTGCTGTCTGGTTGTGAATAGAGTAGTGTGAGTTTGCACTGCTTGCTCAATCCGTTGTTGACAGTTGGTGATATCACGTTCCAAGGTGTTCATGATCAACGTAGCTGTTTGGTTTTTGAACTCTACGGCATCAAAGATGGACCTGATAAATGTCAAATACAGGTGAACGACAATCAATTGATTTGGAATAATACCAAGCTGATTCCTGTGGTAATATCAATGATGGAAAAGCCAAGACTTCAAAGTTAATGGTGACGCTTCATGCTCTGAGCACAGCATGAATCAAACTAATACATTCAAGCTTTCCAGGGTCTCTGGTGCAGCAGGCTTACAATGATAATACATTCCAAATAATCTGGATGGGGTAGAAGGATGGGGTATTATATTATATTGGCAGAGCAGAGGGTGGTTGTGAGGAGAGGAGAGATTCTTACTGTAGTTCTTCAATGACATCTGGCATAGTGGCTGCTGTTTCCTCCATCCTGTCAGACCCTGTTCTGTACTCTTTGGATTTAGCAGTGAGGACTGCGATTCTGCTCAAGGCATGGTCAAACCTCTTGGTAACATCTTGGTGTAATTCCTATCAACGATAAACGAGATTGAAATTAATGAACCATGCGCCACAATGAAACTTGGCAGCTTGATTTCAACATCAATAACTTTCAATAAGTCCCACCACCTACCTTCTGATTTCAAATACTTTATCACTTGTAAATCATGCGTGTGTATTAGATTGAATACATGATATTATGAAATGTGTTGTGCTAATATCTATTACATTTCTCACTCTTTTTAAAATGTGGTAAGTGACTGTGTGTAAATCCTTGATTTATCTTACCTTGACAGTATTTAGATGGTCAAGTTTCAGGTTCCTTTCCTTTTTCAGACAATTTGAAGTGTTTTTGTGTTCTGTTCGAACATCACAGAGTTTCTCCCTTAAACTTTCAATTTTCTGAAACGGATAAATTAATAATCAATTGAATTTGAAACAATCAACATATCTCACAAAAATGTTGGAAATACAGTAAACTGAACATAAAATGTTAGATTACCTCAGATTTATAATTGTAAATCTTTCTCAGTTTTTCCATTTCAATTTCCAGTTGTTTTGTAGCTGATGATGCCTCTTCAAAATTCTTATGAAGTTTCCATCTGGCGTTTTCTGTGTTGGTTTGCTCCTGGTGTAATTCTGCTTTAATCGTTGTTAATTTATCCTGAAATACAGTTTAAAACTGAACAAAACTGTTGTACACAAGGAATCATATCACTTTCCAAGATCAGTCTTATGAAATTACTGGTTTTATAACACACCTGATAGTAAAAATATACTTGACAGAACCAACCGTGAAAGTCGAAACTGTACAGAAGAGATTTACCTTCAGAATGGCCATGGCTTTCATCTCGCTCATCATGTCTTTCTTCAGATTCTCAGTCACTTTCTGAGGAGATATGTATATGTGTTGCATCAGTAACACTAGTAAAGAAGCCCACTCCATCATCGTACATTAATCTACTAGTGCATATCTGAATGTCTATCTGCAAGTGCTCTTTTCACAAACACACCTTGGTAGAGAGACTCCAAGCATGGATGAATCTTTAAAAGCATGTGCTTCTCTCACCGACAACTAGTGCAGATTATGTGATTGACAATATCTAATGGTCAGAGGGCTGAATCTAAACATCAGACACTTGTGTCAATGGGGATATGCAACCTTCTCTCTATGTAGGATTCCATTTATAAATTAGTGTCTCTAACTTACCCTCATAAATTCTGATAAAAACAGTGCATGGATCTCTAGTTATGTGCATGGTACTACAGGTAAGAGTGCATGGATCTCTACAGATGTAAGATCTTAATTTGAGCCAGTTTGCTATAGCAGGAAAATAATCCTGCCGCAACAAGAAATTAAAATTATTATGTGGATTATAATTCATGGACATTTTTGTAGGGGTTGATACATTTTTCGTAAGGGAAAATCATGTCTGAAATCTCAGTGGAAATTACAAACTTCACAAGCCTTTTTAAACCTCAAATACACTACAAATGTAAAATGTCCTGCATTGCAAATTAAGATCCTACATATGTAGCCTTGATCATACTACAGGTAAGAGTGCATGAATGTCGAGTTAAGTGCATGTCTCTTTCCACACGGACCCTCATCCTCTGCTCCTCCATGAAGGTCTGCTGCTCCAGGTCATCCAGGTTGACCTTGGTGTTAGCGTGCATTGCTGCCACCTGGGACAGCTCCTCCTTGGCCTCTTCTCTCTGTTCCTCGTTCACACTGATCTTCTGCAGCATGCCCTTCCTCTCCTTCTGAAGCTGCTTCACAGCCTGCTTACTGATGGACACACACACACACGTACGTAAGTATGCACACACACACGTACATAAGTATACACACACACACACACAAATGATATACAGTACCTCTTATAGATCATCTTACTGTAGTCCTCAGTCTCCAGTTCATACTCTTTGTTTTCCTCGTGGAGAGCCAAGATCTCCTGATGTTTCTTACAGAACACCTCCTCGGAGTGAGAGACCGCCGCTTCACCTGCAAGTCTCTGGAATATGCCCCGGATGCAACGTTAGGAAGCAATAAATATGCAATAAATCGTATGCAATAAATAAAGTATTGTGAAAAATATTAAAATGTCAACAATAACTATCATCACTTACAGTTGCATGGACTTCTTTCTGCAGCTCTGAAATCTCCTCCTTTAATTGTGCAATTTTTCTACCTTCAACCTCAATTAATATGTTCAGCTCCACAACCTGTGACCAAAAAATAACTATACATTGTATTCTCAAAGTGTAAGGAACTTTTGTGAATGTTTTAGCATATTTCTTAAGTCAAATTCCTCATTAATTCATTGATTCATTAATTATGATAGATGCAGTTGTTCACAGTGGTGAAAATCATTTAAGTTACAGACTGGCCCACATGTGCTGACGTATCATACAGTACACAGTTAGCACAGTACAGTCCTCACCAGATCATTGACTGCAGTCTCCTGCACCTCTAGCACAGGGATACGTTGTGACATGACTCCCCACTCCTCCTCTTTCAGAGCCACCCTCTCCTCTGTCTCCCTCACTGTAATGCAGTAGCCGTCCCAATAATCTATCAGCTGCTGGAACTCAGTTCTGGACAAAATAATACAATTTATCATCTTTTGAAGTCAAATTATTCATCAACTTTGCATATACAGTGAGGGAAAAAAGTTTTTGATCCCCTGCTGATTTTGTAAGTTTGCCCACTGACAAAGAAATGATCAGTCTATAATTTGAATGGTAGGTTTATTTGAACAGTGAGAGACAGAATAACAACAAAAAAATCCTGAAAAACGCATGAAAAAAAATGTTATAAATTGATTTGCATTTTAATGAGGTAAATAAGTATTTGACCCCCTCTCAATCAGAAAGATTTCTGGCTCCCAGGTGTCTTTTATACAGGTAACGAGCTGAGATTAGGAGCACACTCTGGAGTGCTCCTAATCTCAGTTTGTTACCTGTATAAAAGACACCTGTCCACAGAAGCAATCAATCAGATTCCAAACTCTCCACCATGGCCAAGACCAAAGAGCTCTCCAAGGATGTCAGGGACAAGATTGTAGACCTACACAAGGCTGGAATGGGCTACAAGACCATCGCCAAGCAGCTTGGTGAGAAGGTGACAACAGTTGGTGCGATTATTCGCAAATGGAAGAAACACAAAAGACCTGTCAATCTCCCTCGGCCTGGGGCTCCATGCAAGATCTCACCTCGTGGAGTTGCAATGATCATGAGAACGGTGAGAAATCAGCACAGAACTACACGGGAGGATCTTGTCAATGATCTCAAGGCAGCTGGGACCATAGTCACCAAGAAAACAATTGGTAACACACTACGCCGTGAAGGACTGAAATCCTGCAGCGCCCGCAAGGTCCCCCTGCTCAAGAAAGCACATATACAGGGCCGTCTAAAGTTTGCCAATGAACATCTGAATGATTCAGAGGAGAACTGGGTGAAAGTGTTGTGGTCAGATGAGACCAAAATCGAGCTCTTTGGCATCAACTCAACTCGCCGTGTTTGGAGGAGGAGGAATGCTGCCTATGACCCCAAGAACATCATCCCCACCGTCAAACATGGAGGTGGAAACATTATGCTTTGGAGGTGTTTTTCTGCTAAGGGGACAGGACAACTTCACCGCATCAAAGGGACGATGGACGGGGCCATGTACCGTCAAATCTTGGGTGAGAACCTCCTTCCCTCAGCCAGGGCATTGAAAATGGGTCGTGGATGGGTATTCCAGCATGACAATGACCCAAAACACACGGCCAATGCAACAAAGGAGTGGCTCAAGAAGAAGCACATTAAGGTCCTGGAGTGGCCTAGCCAGTCTCCAGACCTTAATCCCATAGAAAATCTGTGGAGGGAGCTGAAGGTTTGAGTTGCCAAACGTCTGCCTCGAAACCTTAATGACTTGTAGAAGATCTGCAAAGAGGAGTGGGACAAAATCCCTCCTGAGATGTGTGCAAACCTGGTGGCCAACTACAAGAAACGTCTGACTTCTGTGATTGCCAACAAGGGTTTTGCCACCAAGTACTAAGTCATGTTTTGCAGAGGGGTCAAATACTTATTTCCCTAATTAAAATGCAAATCAATTTATAACATTTTTGACATGTGTTTTTCTGGATTTTTTTGTTGTTATTCTGTCTCTCACTGTTCAAATAAACCTACCATTAAAATTATAGACTGATAATGTCTTTGTCAGTGGGCAAACATACAAAATCAGCAGGGGATCAAATAAATTTTTCCCTCACTGTATGTCTAATTGCGTAAACTGCAAGCATGGCGCTACAGTTGTAAGTACTTTATAACAACACTGTTAGATTAAGTTACCACGTGATTACAGAGATATTCGAGACCTAACAGGACAGATTACTCCTACAATTATTCATTTAGTTCCTTCTATGTAGTTGCAGTACATGTGACATGTTTAAGTTGAAAACAATACATTTGAGACACTCAACCTTTATCTAAAAAAAACTTTGAGTAACTATCAGATACTGTAATACTATTTAATATGCTGTGCATGGTACTCACAGTCTGTCATTTAGCAGATTCCTGATGCCCTTAAGTTCATTGAACATCAACCCTCTATCCTCATCCGCTTTCAGTTCTTCCTTTCTCATCTCTTCTTGACAACTCTTGAGTTCACTGAAGGTCTTTGAAAATGTCTCAAGGGCCTAAAACAACAACAAAAATATAAATATGCAATATATTATATGCAATATATATATGTGACAATAACTGTAGAAAAAAACTAATAAACAAAATTCATTGTGAAGAGTACCTCGTGTTGAGCCGTATTAATTTGGATCATGAAATCGCTCTCCAGCTGCAGTTTTTCCTTCACAAGAGGCCCATTTTTCTTGATGAAATCAATGTCCTCATTTAACCGCTGGTTCAAAACCTCTGTCTTGATCATTCTATCTTTCACTTGGTGAAGTTTATCTCTTCCCAATTTCAGATGCCATTTCAATTCACTGATGTCTCTGGTACAGGCCTCATGCTCTGGAGAGAAACAGTACATATCCAGGTTTCAGGTAAAGCAGCATTGTAAGCAATATATAAAGAACTTACAAAACCTACTAGATGACAGTTTATTTTGTCTTCAACAACTAGTGTTACAGAATAATCCTCATAATAAAAGAGTGATAATAACATGAATGACCTTTCTTTAAGGGATCTTTGTCTTTATGCCACTGACTGACCTTTCTGGACAGCAACAGGGAACTCCTGCTGCTTCCACAGTGAAATACTATACATTTTCCTCCCTAAAGTTCTCCTTCTCTTCTTCTCCGACTGTAGAGCCTCCTCTGCATCCTGGCGATCAGCTTCCAGACGTTCAATCAGATACACCACTTCTACCAGGACGTCCGTGGTTTCCTTACGCAGCGGAGACAACAGGTCACCCTCTGTATGAAGGAAGAAAGATGTTCGTATAGTGTATGTATACCAGTAGCCTTATCTATTGAAAAATATTGATAATTGTCAGATTACCTAAGCTAAAATAAAATAAAAGTGGACTCATTGTACAGAAAGCATCTGCAAACAATAGGGGCTGTACTGTATATGGTTGATTCAGAATAATGTGCACGTTATAGATGCCATTACACTGTACATTTTGTTGTGTTCATGGACTTCATCACGTGACACAAGTCTGTGTACTCTATCTCTCTCATTTGAGAAAATAAATAAACAAATTAAAAATATTCACCTCTTTCACCTCTTGCACTTAGTCCAATGCCTTCAATGTATAACTCTGTAGGCATCATTGAAGACACATATTCACTGGAATTCAATCTGGAAAAGATGGAACACATTTCTTCACATACCTGAAGAAATAGGAACATTAATTGCTGTAAATGTAAAGCTTTAAATCAGGGGTGTCAAACTCATTTTAGCTCAGGGGCCACATGGAGGAAAATCTATTCCCAAGTGGGCCGGACCGGAAAAATCATGGTATATATATCTTAAAAACAACAACTTCAGATTGTTTTCTTTGTTTTAATACGATCAACATACAACATAAAGCTGGAGCCTGAGGACAGTGTGTCCAAAATAGTACAAGCACAACATCACTATTAATCATAAAACACGTCAAGTTTATTTGAAAATTCTAAAGAAAAAGAACACACAAACACACAATGCCTCAGTGATTAACAGAACTGTTTCAGAGATCACAGAACTATATCAGGGTGTCATTTCTCAGGCAGAAATGTAGATAAAAATAATGAAATCCTGTTCCCCAAACAAGTGCAAGAACCACAGAGTCAAGAATAGGTTAAATATACAAATAAAATAAAATCAATTAAAAACAATAGCACATCAACATAAAAACATATAAACATAAAGCTGGAGCCTGAGGACAGTGTCCAAAAGCACAACATCACTATTAATCATAAAACACCTCAGGTTATTTGAAAGTTCTGAGGACAAAGAACACACAAACACACAATGCCTCAGTGATTAACAGAACTGTTTCACAGATCACAGAACTATATCAGGGTGTCATTTCTCAGGCAGAAATGTAGATAAAAATAATGAAATCCTGTTCCCCAAACAAGTGCAAGAACCACAGAGTCAAGAATAGGTTAAATATACAAATAAAATAAAATCAATTAAAAACAATAGCACATCAACATAAAAACATATAAACATAAAGCTGGAGCCTGAGGACAGTGTCCAAAAGCACAACATCACTATTAATCATAAAACACCTCAAGTTATTTGAAAGTTCTGAGGACAAAGAACACACAAACACACAATGCCTCAGTGATTCACAGAAGTATATCACAGATCACAGAACTATATCAGGGTGTCATTTCTCAGGCAGAAATGTAGATAAAAATAATGAAATCCTGTTCCCCAAACAAGTGCAAGAACCACAGAGTCAAGAATAGGTTAAATATACAAATAAAATAAAATCAATTAAAAACAATAGCACATCAACATAAAAACATATAAACATACATCTGAAAGCGTTGCTCAAACTCCCGTAACAGTCCCGTTATGTTATCTTTGAACCGCTTCATGTCTGCCACATGTTGGGTCGCGCACACATTTTTCAGACAGGGGAAGTGAGCTGCATCACCACCGGCAAGTTGCGTCTCCCACAATGACAGCTTCAACTTGAAAGAACGTATGCTGTCATAATACTGCGTGACAACTTTGTTGCGCCCTTGCAGCTGTTTGTTCAAGTTATTCAGGTGCATTGTAACATCCACCATAAATGCAAGGTCCTGCATCCATTCTGCGGAATGAAATTCTAACACTGGTTTGCCCTTTTCTTCCATGAACTGTTCAATTTCTTCTCGTAAATCAAAGAAACGCCTCAGCACAGCACCTCGGCTTAACCATCTTACCTCAGTGTGGTATGGCAGGCCATAGATGTGGTCTTTCTCTCTGAGAAGGCTGTCAAACTGACGGTGATTCAGGCTTCTGGATCGGATGAAATTAACAGTTTGGATGACCACCTTCATGACGTTATCCATCTTTAATGACTTGCAACACAAAGCCTCCTGGTGCAAAATACAGTGAAAAGTCAAAAAATCACGTCCTCCATTTGCAGATTGCACTTTCTCTCTGAACTTTGTCACAACGCCTGCTTTTTTCCCGATCATTGAGGGCACACCATCTGTAGCCAGGCTGACAGCGCGGGACCAGTCCACTCCGACCCTGTCCAGCGCGCCGACGAGTGCGGTAAAAATATCAGCTGCTGTCGTTGTATCTGTCATCGGCACCAACTCCACGAACTCCTCGGTGACGGTCAATGTGTCATCAACTCCGCGGATGAAAATGGCCAGTTGTGCAACATCTGTAATGTCCGTGCTTTCATCAATTGCAACCGAAAACGCAATAAATGACTTTACTTTTTGCTTCAACTGGCTGTCCAAATCCACTGAAAGATCGGAAATCCTGTCTGCAACTGTGTTTCTTGTCAGGCTGATATTTGCAAAAGCCTGCCGCTTTTCAGGGCACACAATCTCCGCTGCCTTCATCATGCATGTTTTTACAAATTCACCCTCACTAAATGGTTTTGAAGCCACTGCGATTTCATTAGCAATGAGGTAGCTAGCTTTCACTGCAGCGTCACTGATGTCTCGGCTGTGAGTAAACACAGACTGCTGTTTCTTCAGACCGGCCAACAGTTCATTCACCTTCTCTCATCTCCGCTGTCCTTGAAAGTTGTCATATTTGTCGGCATGAAGACTCACATAGTGGCGACGAAGGTTATATTCTTTCAGCACTGCAACATGCTCTGAACACACCAAACATACAGCTTTCCCATTCAATTCCGTGAATAAATAGGATGACCATTTTTCTTGGAACACTCTGCACTCTGCGTCCACTTTTCTCTTTTTTGACAGAGACATATTGGGGCAATGAGGGTGCCAAAGCACATAATGTTAAAAGTAGAAGCCGTAATAAATATCGCGGGCAAAACAAAGTAGCTCATTGGCTGCACGTGCTTGACCTACTTGCTCTGCCCCAGTATAAACAGTTTGCTTGCTTAACACAATTGCTATTGCGCCATCCAGCGGACGCAATTGGAACAGCAGTTTATTTTATTGAAAAATTGCAGCGCATTTTTATACTTTACAAAAATTGTTTTTTTTTTGTTTTGTTTTTTATATATATTTTCTTTTCAAAATCATCTCGCGGGCCGGATTAAACCCGTTTGCGGGCCTGATCCGGCCCGCGGGCCGGACGTTTGACACCCCTGCTTTAAATGAAGAAAGATAGAATCCAATTGTATTCGTCAGGTACACAGTTTACAGAATGTTTGAAAGGTGCAGCGAAATGCTTGTGTGCTAACTCCCTCAACATTGCAGTAATAATAAGAGTCAAGTCAAAAATAACAAGTAATAGAAGCGTTAGTATGCATAGTATTAGCCTGATATATACACAATAGGATATACAGTATACATCATGAATGTGCTATGTCCAGTATGACTGTATTTACAAATATAGTGTCTTGGTCATGCAGTTGAAAATAGTATATAATAGAACACCAGAGTTGACTGTGTATGTGTGTGTGTGTGTATTTGTGTGAGTCTGTGTGCATGTGTGTGCTTGTGTGGGTTTGTTTATGGGTGGTTGTGGACGTGTTAAACTATAACCCACAAGAATAGTAAACAAACATTTGACCAACAGGAGACATTTTGTTGGTCCCAACAAGGGAAAAGGCTATTTCTAGGGGGTTTAGGTTAGGATTAGTGCTAGGGTTAGAATTAGGAGTTAGGATTAAGGTTAGATTTTGGGATTAAGGTTAGGGTAAGCGTTAGGGAAAATAGGACTTTGAATGAGAATCAATTGTGTGTCCCCACAAGGTTAGTTAAACAAGACTGTGTGTGTGTGTGTGTGTGTGTGTGTGTGTGTGCTTGTATGTGTTTGCTTATGGGTGGTTGTGTGTGTGTGTGTGTGTGTGTGCTTGTGTGTAAGGGTTGGAGGTGTGGAAAGTCACATAGGACATAACATAGGACAAAAAAGATACATCTTACCTAAAAGTTTTGCTGTTTTTCTGTTTTTCATGAGACATCTGACGCTGAACATTTCCTGACTGGTAGAGGGGACAGGAGGACAAATGACAGAAATGTATTTTTTTTTTCATATCAGTGATTTTTGGCCCATAATAATTATCTCAAAAAGCTTTTTTGCATGATCACACTAAGACATCAGAATCTTACCTGTTGACACCAGTTCTCCACTTTCCTCTTCAGCTCCTGAATATGGCAAACAGCTTTGTTGACACATGGTGAGGGGGTGTTAACCAGGGCACAACTGCGACGTCTGCTGGGGCACACTGCTTGAAGATCTACCTGATCTTAAAATATATCAGAAATGACCAGCTGTAAATCAAATTGAAGAGTTAGGCCTATGCCCCAATTCTTGATGAAATGCCAAAAACACATAACTGCTTTCCATATATATGATACTGTCACGTTCGTTCATAGACGGGTCAGACCAAGGCGCAGCGTGATATGCATACATGTTTATTTTAAACGTAATAAACAACGACAAAACAATAAACCAACGAAACGTGACGTCCTAAGGTACACACAACAAACCTCACACGGAACAAGATCCCACAACCCACTAGTGCCAATAGGCTGCCTAAGTATGGTCCCCAATCAGAGACATCGAGCGACAGCTGCCTCTGATTGGGAACCACACCGGCCAACATAGATCTAGACATACTAGACTTACAACATAGACAATCACAACATAGAATATACACACCCTGACTCAACAAATAGGAGTCCCCAGAGTCAGGGCGTGACAGTAACCCCCCCCCCCCCCCCCCCCCCCCCCAAAGGTGCGGACTCCGACCGCACAACCTTTACTTAACAGGGTAGGGGCCGGGTGGGCATTCCGCCTCAGAGGCGGATCCGGCTCCGGGCGTGACAACCACCTATTTTCCACCTCCCTGTTGCGCCCCTGGTCTGGTCTGGACCTCGGCGCGCTGCTTCCCCTCTCCTTCCTCCCACTATACTCCAAGCCCTGTCTGGACCCTGGTGTGGGAGACCCCGAACCTGGAGAGGGGCTGACGTCTGGGTCTGGACTGGAGCCGCTGACCGGAGCTGGACCGGGCACCGGTGGAGCGGACTGCTCAGGCTCCGGACTGGAGCCACTGACCGGAGCTGGACTAGACCCCGGTGGAGTGGACTGCTCTGGCTCCGGAGTGGAGCAGCTTACCGGAGCTGGATCAGGCACCGGTGGAGCGGACTGCTCTGGCTCCGGACTGGAGCTGCTGACTGGTGCCGGACCAGGCACCGGTAGAACAGGCACGGGCCGTGCCGGACTGGACACACTCACCACTGGTCTGGTGCGAGGAGCAGGAACAGGCCGGGCCGGACTGGCGACACGCACCACTGGCTTGGTGCGAGAAGCAGGAACAGGCCAGGCCGGGCTGGCGACGCGCACCACTGGCTTGGTGCGAGGGACAGGAACAGGGCGGACCGGGCTGGCGACGCGCATCACTGGCCTGGTGCGAGGGGCAGGAACAGGCCGGGCCGGGCTGGCGACGCGCACCACTAGCTTGGTGCGAGGAGCAGGAACGGGCCGGGCCGGGCTGGCGACGCGCACCACTGGCTTGGTGCGAGGATCAGGAACGGGCCGGACCGGACTGCGAAGGCGGACTGGAGGTCTGGAGCGGAGAGCTGGCACAACCCGTCCTGGCTGGCTACCCACTTTCGCACTACACGTGCGGGGCGCTGGCACAGGACGCACTGGGCTGTGCACGCGCACTGGCGATACAGCTCGTAGAACTGGCGCAGGATATGCGGGACTGAGGAGGCGTACTGGAGACCAGGAGCGTTGAGCCGGCACACCCCGTCCTGGCTGGATGCCCATCTTCGCACGGCACGTGCGTGGTGCAAGCACAGGACGTACAGGACTGTGCCGGCGCACTGGCGACACAGTACGTAGCTCCGCATAACACGGAGCTTGCCCAGTCATACGCCTTCTCGCGTGAGTACGGGGAGTTGGCTCTGCCAACCACCCCGTGGGATGCCTCTCGGGCTTCCTCCTTGACCGGCCTCCTCCGTGTTGTCGTTGCTCCTCTCCTGCCTGGGCATCTATCTTAGCCCATGGTCCTTTCCCCGCAAATATCTCTTCCCATGACCACAACTTGCCCACCTGTGAAATGGCCCTTCGCTCCGCCTGGGCACGCTGCTTGGTCCTCGTTTGGTGGGATCTTCTGTCACGTTCGTTGATGAACGGGTCAGACCAAGGCGCAGCGTGATATGCATACATGTTTATTTTAAACTTAATAAACAACGACAAAACAATAAACCAACGAAACGTGACTTCCTAAGGTACACACAACAAACCTCACACGGAACAAGATCCCACAACCCACTAGTGCCAATAGGCTGCCTAAGTATGGTCCCCAATCAGAGACAACGAGCGACAGCTGCCTCTGATTGGGAACCACACCGGCCAACATAGATCTAGACATACTAGACTTACAACATAGACAATCACAACATAGAATATACACACCCTGACTCAACAAATAGGAGTCCCCAGAGTCAGGGTGTGACAGATACATACAAACAACAGTATGACAGTATAACATAAGGTATAATGAATATGACATTTGTATCCTTTAAAATCAGATACAAAGATATAGTATATCGGACACGTAATCCACTTTGTGTGAAAGAGACTTACACAGTGTTATGACAATACGACAATGATCTTATGTCATTTACACTATCACCCATAACTGTTCATATTACCAATCACTGTTTTGTAAGCATCAGTGAATAGGCAAAGGGCCAGGGAAGCCTAATTTGAGCCTCCAGTGGGAGACTCAAGGCCAACATAGGCTTAGTGGTGGAAGGGCGCCATCTGGCTGCAGTATGGCTCCTGGCCTAAATGCACAATGTTGAAACAGATATCCTACCCAGGCTTACATACACTTTAGGCCAGTGCTTTCAAGGCAAAACATAGCCTACTCTATGTAAGATGATGCTGCAGGTGGAGCGCTCATAGGAAATATGATTAAGCAAGTGAGCGACTTTCACCTTTTGTGATGGACTGTAATGTGATAGAGTACATTACCTGCTGTTGTGCCAATCTGTCTCAAGTGTCTCTTTAGAAGCAAGACAATGTGTGATGACAGACAGTATACCCATTGTAGAATAATGCTACCACCTGTATCTCTGTTCTGTTTCAATAGCCTTTCAAGTGTTTAGGTGTGTGGGGTGGGGGGTTGTTATTTGTGCAAAATATCATTCAAACCTTGTAAACATGGCCCCCCTTCCCTGGATGGAAATCTGAGTGGTTCAACTTCAGGCATTGTAGCAATATGCAATCTCCACAATCCTGTGCAAAAACAAATTATTGTTAGTTAGATCAATGTTGGTGAAATTAAATCACTTATTTGCTAACTTTACATCTTGCCACTGTGTAACCTAATGGCAAAAAGCAGGCTAGGTGTGTGTCATGTCTCATCATGGAATAAAGTCGAAGCATGAGCGAGTTGGCTATCAACTTACTTGTTCGCAGAATGGATAGGCCCTCGTTCTTTTAAAATGATAACATCCTGATTCAGGCGCCAATGTAACTACTACAGATACTTTATCCGGAAACAATATATCCGGTGAAATTTTCAACAAACTTTATTTTCTGACCAGAAAGCTAGGAGAAAGGAGTTATAATGCCCCACGCGATTCTATTCCGTCTTGTATGGCTACGTAAACTACCCGTATCACATGGTTGCTAAGCAACAAGCAAAGGGCTGCATTCAGAACAGTAGCATAGGTTTTTTCACTGTACCTTATAAAATGACAAATATTATTCAATTTTGTAGTTTTTCTCGGCTTCTCGAGGCTCTTTGCATGACACAGGCATTGCTCATCTGCCATCTAAGTTAGAGGGACATATTATGCATTGTATTAATTCAGAGGAACCTTTTCACCAAGATTAGGCTAAAGTCTAGACATTTTGAGATACTCTATCAACATTTTAGAATGATAAGTTGCATGAAGTTTCCCAGTGAAACTGTTTGGCTGACTAGGAGTCAGAGGAATATTAAATGTAATTATATTAGGGTACGGCTTGTTGTAGAAATGAGTCATGAAGCAAGTTAGCCTATGAATGAAAGGACAGTGAGACTCATCCTGATTTTCAATGGGGCATCACATTTGTGCCTAAGCAGCAATTGCACATGCATTCATTACAAGTATAAAATAAAAATGATCTGTTTATTGATCATTAATTGATGAGATACCAACACAATAAATGTTACTTATATCCTACTGGCAATCAATGCCATTTCCACTTAAAGCGCAATTGAATGCTCTACAAGTTAAACAAAATAAGGAACAGACATTATAGGCCTACCATTGTTAGATCTGTGAGACACGTTCTAGGATAGGGCAGGGTCAATAAGACCTCAACTGGATACTGGTATGGAAGCATGCAAGACAGGACTATCACAAAATATATAGATTTTATTACAAATACGGCACAGTACGCCGATTTACTGGGCAGGCGTAACTTGGATGTCACCAAAGGTAGTTTACAGTTTTACAAAGGCCTGAACGAAAACACAGCAAATGTTAAGTGGAAGCACAGCAAACTGGTTTTCAGTGCAGCACAGCAAACACAATATTCAACAGGGATTCTATAACAAAGGTCTAACAGACTAAAGTGTACATGCATAAAACGGCACCCTCTCTCAATCTACAAAAAAATAAAACAGTAAGCTATTAAACACAATACATACCTCTGCTGCCTCAGCTGTCTCAAGTCCACTCCACTCGACACAGCCACCATTTATTTTTTTGATAGTTTTTTAACCTCCATTTAAGCAGGGAGTCATGCTGAGACCACAGTCTCTTTCGCAGATGAGCCCTGCATAAACACATCAATAAACAACAATTGCACTATACATATCTATAAACATCAATTGCACCCCACTGGCACAGATGTCAATTCAATGTCTATTCCTTGTTGGTTCAGCGTAATTTTATTGAAATGACGTGGAAACAACGTTGATTCAACCAGTGTGTGCCCAGTGAGACAATACATGAAAAGCAAAAACAAAAAACACAAAAAGCAAAACTACCATAAGAAACAAACACATTCCTCAGTAAAGTTTCAAGTTTTAAGTACAGTGAAATGCCTTTCTAAATCCAACAATGCAGTAATCAATATCAATGTAGTACTAAAAATAACATAAGGTAGAACAAAAACACATACAAAGAAATAAGAAGAACACAATAAGTAAGTAAGCTATATACAGTGTCAGTTCTAATATCATATTTACAGTGTGCATGGATACTGGAGTAATAGACATCAAGATATA